CTCCCAGTGCCCCTGCCCTTCCAGGGCACTCACAGCGCGCGCGCTCTCTCTCTCTCTCTCTCTCTCTCTCTCTCTCTCTCTCTCTCTCTCTCCCCCTCCCTCCCTCCCTTCCACCTCTCCCTCCCTCCTCTGGTTTAGCTGAGTATTTCCTAGGACAGTGTCCCGTCTCCCCCCCCCGCCCCCCAACCTGCCCCAGTTCCTGCCTTTGGCTGAGAGGCCGGTGGTCCTGCAGCGAGTGGCCATCCTGTGGTAGGAAGTGGCCTCTGAGCCATCCCGGCAGCGTCAACTCCTGGGGAAAGCTAACAGCACGGGCCAGTTGTATGAGTTCTCCCAGGCAGACGGGACGCAGGGAGGAGGGGAGGGGAGGGAACAGGACTGTGCACTGACCGGCAGCGCCTTTCCCAGGAAGATCCGCCCACCAACCAGACCAAGGGAGTGGAGGCGACCAGGAAAGGCCTTGGCCTGTTTTTGTCAAGTTCAAGTAACCCAACAGGAGACCATAAGCCCGGGCGATGGGGGGATACTGTTACCCCTAGTCCTCGGCTGCCCTGAGGAACGGGCAGGGGCTCCCACGCCACAGGCCGCCTGCCCACGGACGCCAGGCCACCTGCTCATGGACTCCAGGCCGCCTGTCCACAGATGTCGCTCTTGCAAGACCGCATTAAAGCCTCCTCATCGCCATGCTTCATGTCTCCCAGTTTGTTATTGGAATTCGGACCGTGAGCGTTTCTCACACCTGCCTTCACCTCGCAGCCCCCTTTGCTCCCCCAGGACAGAGACCCCCCGAGATGCCGAGAGGATGCCGGGAGCCTGGAGCCTGTGGCCTGGGCCCCTAGCTGCCGCCTTTCTCCAGGGAAAGGGCCCTGCCCTGACGCAGGGGAGGCTTGGGCGGAGCCGTGGCCGGTCCAGGCCACCATCCAGGGCGGTGGGGCCTTCTCCCTCCACGGCCAGGGGGTGTCATCCCATCGTTCCCGTCACGTCCTTCACCACGTGAGCGTGTGCTGCTGGGAAAGCTCCTGGGCTTATTGATTCTCTGGCCCTGCCTGTGTGCGCCCTGGCGGGACCAGACCCAGGGACTCCACAGGCCACACCCCCCACCCCTGATCCAGGGCAGCACAGACCTCATGCCAGGAGCCGGGTGCGGGTCACCCCAATGCTCACACCGTCCGGCCGCAGGCCCCAACCCCTGCCTGCTGTGGAGGTTTGGGGTGACCAAGAGGAGACTTCGGCCCTCAAAGACTGATGGAGGAGCCGCCCCACACTCGGCACCCAAGAGCCTGACGCAGACTCACACAGGCTCCAGGAACGGAGACCTGGTCTTGAGAGGCTGCAGAACCAGGCACCAGGCCCTCGGCCTCCGGAAGAGCTCAGAGCCGGCCAGGCATTGGTTAGGGTCAGGGCTAGGGTCAGGGTTAGGGTTAGGGTCAGGGCTAGGGTCAGGGTTAGGGTTAGGGTTAGGGCTAGGGTCAGGGTCAGGGTCAGGGTTAGGGATAGGGTTAGGGTTAGGGATAGGGTTAGGGTTAGGGCTAGGGTCAGGGCTAGGGTCAGGGTTAGGGTTAGGGATAGGGTTAGGGCTAGGGTTAGGGTTAGGGCTAGGGTTAGGGTTAGGGATAGGGTTAGGGTTAGGGATACAGTTAGGGCTAGGGTTAGGGTTAGTAATAGGGTTATGGTTAGGGATAGGGATAGGGTTAGGGAATAGGGCTAGGGTTAGTGATAGGATTAGGGTTAGGGATAGTGTTAGGGTTAGGGTTAGGGTTAGGGATATGGCTAGGGCTAGGGTTAGGTTTAGGGTTAGGGTTAGGGTTTGGGATAGGGTTAGGGTTAGGGATAGGGTTAGGTCTAGGGTTAGGTTTAGGGTTAGTAATAGGGTTAGGGATAGGCCTAGGGTTAGCGCTAGAGTTAGGGCTAGGGATAGGGATAGGGTTAGGGTTAGTGTTAGGGTTTTGTTTAGGGATAGGGATATGGTTAGGGTTAGGGTTACGGTTAGCGTTAGGGATAGGCCTAGCGTTAGGGCTAGGGTTAGGTTTAGGGTTAGGGTTAGGGAGTAGGGCTAGGGTTAGTGATAGGGTCAGGGTTAGGGTTAGGGATAGTGTTAGCGTTAGGGTTAGGGTTAGGGATATGGCTATGGCCAGGGTTAGGGTTAGGAATAGGGTTAGGGTTAGGGATAGGCCTAGGGTTAGCGCTAGGGTTAGGGCTAGGGATACGGTTAGGGCTAGGGTTAGGGTTAGGTTTAGTTTTAGGAATAGGGTTATGGTTAGGGCTAGGGATACAGTTAGGGCTAGGGATAGGTTTAGGGTTAGGATTAGGGTTAGGGTTAGGGTTAGGGATAAGGCTAGGTCTAGGGTTAGGGCTAGAGTTAGGGGTAGGGTTAGGTTTAGAGTTAGAAATAGGGTTGGGTTTTGTTTAGGGATAGGGATAGGGTTAGGGTTAGGGTTAGAGTTAGGGATACGCCTAGGATTAGGGCTAGGGTTAGGGTTAGGGTTAGGGTTAGGGTTAGGGATAAGGTTTGGGTTAGGGTTAGGGATAGGCCTAGGGTTAGGGCTAGGGTTAGGGTTAGGGCTAGGGTTAGGGCTAAGGTTAGGGATAGGGTTAGGGTTAGGGCTAGGGTTAGGGCTAAGGTTAGGGTTAGGGCTAGGGTTAGGGATAGGGTTAGGGTTAGGGAATATGGCTAGGGTTAGGGCTAGGATTACGGCTAGGGTTAGGGAATACGGCTGGGGTTAGGGATAGGGTTAGGATTAGGGTTAGGGATATGGCTAGGGCTAGGGTTAGGGTTAGGGATTGGGTTAGGGTTAGGGCTAGGGTTAATGTTAGGGTGAATGTTAGTTTTTTGATGAAGTTTATGTTTTTGGCACCAGAAGCTCCGCCTACTACTTCAACAAGCTCAGTTCCCGCCAGGCAGAGGTCATCCCAGAGGCATTGTCTGTGTTTTGGGCCAACAAGCCTCAGTGAAGACTGTAATGAGCGTAGACACTTTTTTGGGTTTCAGGTTGGCCCCAGCCTGACGCCAAGGTGGAGTGTGACCTTGGCCCCTAGAACAGGTTCCTGCCTCTGGGAGTCTCAGTGTGGAGTTAGCATTCCCGAGCTCATAGACAAGTCCCCTCTTTTCCCCCAGTGGATGGACACAATGATTACCCCCTGGGGAAACTTAAATCCATTTTGACAAGGAATTTGGTGGCTTAAAGGGGTGGGAGCCTGGTGTGGGCAGGGGGCCCAGGCAGGTTCTGTGAAGGGTTGTGCGCAGAGGGCCAGGGATCCTGAAACCCGGCCCTCGCTGTGGGCTGGGCCTGCCCTCGCCACAGGAAGCAGGAGGCCGTGGCCTGTGGAAGGTCCCGCAGGTGCACTTGCGGCAGCTGAGGCGTCACAGGCGGCGACAGGCCCGGAGGCCTAGTGAGCGGATTCGCACAGCCTGGGCCCCGTGGTCCTGAGCTGAGCTATTGGGGGCGACCCCAGTGGGGAGGGCCCTGCTTGGTGACCACCGGAATCAGAACGAGCCAGGGAGGGGCCTGGGAGCGGGAGCCTGAGGCCAGGGGCCCCGGGATGGGCCACGAAGGGGGAGGGGGCGGCCGGGCTGGTTCAGGGGAGGAGGGGGGAACAGAGCCTCTGGAAAATTCACACGCCCAGCACCGCCTGGGCTCCCCGGCAGCACATGGGAAAGGGGAAGTGAGACTCACCAGCTGCACCGCGATCCCTGCCGTGCACTGTGGGGACTGCGTTGGTACCAAATTATCCCTGTTATGCAAATCTCCTCCCCGAGCCGCTGGGCCCCCGGCCTGTGTGGGACCGTGGGGGTGTGTCTGCTGAAGGGAGGAGCGGCGCCCCAGCCCCCCAGGTGCCCACTGGCCCCCGATGGACGAGGGCCGCGCAGGGGACGGAGCTCAGGATGTGGCCTTGCCCTGTCCCTGGCCTGGCCCCCAGTGGAAAGAGCGCGGGGACTTCACAGTGAGGCGTCACCTCCTCTCCAGGGAAATGCGCCCGGAAGCGGGCGTTTCTGAGCAGTGGGTCCCGCCGAGGCCGCCCGTGCAGCGAGTTCCCCTTTTCTCCCGCAGCTTCTCGGGCCCGGCCCACCCGCCCACCACGGCCTGGGCCCCCGCTGCCCCTCCCTGGCGTCCCTCCCAAATGGCTCTGCCAGTGACCGATGCCCCGCCAGTGGCTTCTTCCTAGCCCCCCCACCCCCCTGCACTGGCGGCTAAGGCCTCTCTGCAGAGGGCGCTCAGGGGGGCTCCTGCCTCTGCTGCTCGGGGCCGCCCGCCCCCTGCCCCCCCTTCCCTAGTGACCCCTTGGGGTCTGAAGCTGGGGGTCAGGGCCTCCCGGATCCTTCGGGGACAATGGTTGGACCATCTGAGCTGGATGCTGGTGCAGCCGGCATTCACGGAGCCCGTCTCAGTCCCCTGGGGCAGCCGTTACAACCATCAGGCCAACCAGCAGCTGATGAACAGACATTCAGTCTCACGGCTCTGCAGGCGGGAGTCCAAGGTTCACGGGGGTTTCACACCGTCTGGATCCAACGCTGTGCCGTGTAGACCTGCTCGCCTTCCCTTGCTTCTGGATCCGAACCCACACGACGCCTGCCTATGTCTCCGGAAGGGAGGATTGGCGCCCACCGTGTGTTTGCCATCACGCCCTTCTGGGGCGGAGCCGAGCCCTCGGGCACCCCCAGCCCTGGCTGAGCGTGCGGCGTGCCTGTGAAGACCGGTGGGAGGTGCTGCACTGGTCACTGTCCTGTCCTCTGTGCCCCTGGCGTGGGCCCGCCGCCCCGGAGTGCGCCACGGTGGGCTGTGCAGGCCGGTGTCCTTCTGGCTGCCCGCCACCTGCCCCATCCTGTGATGCACCCGCAGGCCCCACACCCAGCACAGGGGGCAGGAGGCGCTCAGGCGGCTGGGAACACACCCCCCCCCCCCCCCCACACACACACACACTCGGCCGCATGCAGGCCGCCTGGGACAGAGCCCGCAGGGACCACCCCGCGCAGCGCCTCCCCTTAGACAAGGCGGACGTCATGGTGAGGCAGGCAGTACTCCAGTTTATTGGGTCTATGTCTACACAAGAGGCTTTTCAAAATGTGTACAAAAGGGTCTCTGCTTCTTCACTTGCCAGAATAATTTAACATCGTCCATCTCCTCACTCCCAGACCCGTAGGTGCCGTTGCCTGTGGGCGGCGTGGGCCCTGGCTGCTCGCCCACAGACAAGGGGGCCTGACAGGCCATGCAGCCATCGCACGGCTGCATGCAGGCTTCTGAACTACGGCTTCTTTAGGCTCCTTTTAAAGTCAAACACCCCACCCCCCACCGCCACACCCCATGCTGAGGAGGCCGAGATGGGAGGGTTTGGGGAGAGCTGCTCCCCGGTTGCTACTGGGACCCGAGGCGCGAGGAAGGCACCTGCTTCCTGGCCTGGCCGCTGGGCCATTTCATGTCACCTTTCACCCAATTCTTGTTTTGTGAGAAATCAACATTTTGGTCTCAGAATTTAATGTCATCATTACCAACCCAAGAAGGAAAGCACAACACAGGAAAACACAAAACAAAACAAAACAACACAAAACAAAACAAAACAACACAAAACAATGAAACAGAACAGGCTCCCAGCTCCTTCCCGGTGGCCGTTTCCCAGCGGACACTCCGGTTTCGTGATGTGGCTGCATCCGCGCTGGACGTGGGACAGGCTGGTACCCGAAGCGACTGGGGCTGGGACAGCCCTTCGCCCGAGTGCCGTCCAGCGCGGACGGGCCCCTGCTCAGCCCCACGGGGCGGGGGGACCTGGCCAGGCAGGGGCAGGCTTCCTGCACCTGGGAAGCTGGGGCCGGGAAGGCCAGTGAGGCCGAACTGAGAATTCTCCTCATAACCAACAGTTTGGCCTGGGGCTTGCAGCCCTCCTTCCCCTGGGGCTTATTTATTTTTTAAAATATGTTTTTATTGATGTCAGAGAGGAAGGGAGAGAGAGAGACATCAATGATGAGAATCATGGATCAGCTTCCTCCTGCACACCCCACACTGGGGATCGAGCCTGCCACCGGGCATGTGCCCTGACCGGGAATCAAACTGTGACCTGGTTCATAGGTCGATGCTCAGCCCCTGACCCACACCGGCCAGACCACCTGACGTTCATTTTAAACCCAGGGAGCGAGTAGGAAACCCGAGACACACAGCCACGCCGCCCAACAGCCGGACAAGCACAGAAGGACAAGGCGGAGGGCAGGCAGGGGCCGGCTTCCTGGCCGAGGGAGCCCTGCAGCGTAGGCCCGAGCATGGCCACCGGCCCCACATAATTTAATCACCCGCTGCCAACCTAGGAAACCTTATTTAAATACAATGTTTCAGAGAAACAGCGTTACAGTGAAAACCCCAACAAGGAGGGTAGAGGGACAGTCCATTGGCTAGAAGAGGCAGTGAGGAGCGGGGACGCGTTTTAGCAAAGGGCTACGTACAATTCCGGGTCAGCCCCGCCCGAGGCCGAGCGCCTGACTGTGGGCCGGGTGGGCAGCGCACGGGGCCCACGGAGGCTCTCGCGTGGAGGCCGGCCACGGGGGCAGGTGTGCCCGTCCACGTGGTGCCGGTTGTGCTCATTGCCAGTTTCAAAATGCCAGGCTGTGCTGAGCACAGAGTCCCTGGCCACCTCTGTGGGCTCCATCTTTTTTTTTTTTTTTTGGTTAATCCTCACCCGAGGGTATTAGTTCTGTGGATTTTTTTGGACTGAAAGGGAGGGGGGAGAGAAAAACATACATCAAGTGCCAACATGCCATGTATACCGTCGGTTAGCTCCATCAGATCAAATTCCCAGCCAACTTAGAAAAACAGCAACAGCCACCCTATCCCTGGAAAAGCGGGCCCTGGTCTGGTCGGTCCGGTCCACACTGCAGCATCGGCGGCCTGGCGCTGCGGTCCTGGCCCACGGGTGGCGCTTAGCTCATGTGGTAGCGGTGCTCGCCCCGCGTGATGTGGGAGGAGAACTCGTACCTGTCCTGGCTGTGGTAGCCGCACATGTTGCACTCGAAGGGGTCGCGGAAGCCGTGGCAGCCCATGTGGATGGTGTACATGACGTGGTCGAGGAAGAGCACGCGGCAGTGTTCGCACTTGTAGGCCTTGAGGGGCTCCCCGCCCGCGCCCACCACGCGGAGGGCGTCCTGCGCGCCCTCGGAGGCGGCCCGCAGCACCTCGTAGGCCGGCAGCTCCTCCTTGATGGCCAGCCCGTTGCGGGCGTGCGCGCCGTGGTTGGTCAGGTAGAGGAGGCCGGCCCGGTGCTCCTCGTTGCTCTCCGTGTCGGTGGAGTCGTGGCCGCTGTGGCTGGGCGAGGCCTCCCGCTCCGAGGACAGGGACTTGGCCTTGCACAGCAGCAGCAGGTTCTCCACGGCGCTGTCTTGCGCCGACAGGCCGGCCCGCGCGGCCTCCCCGGGCGGCTTGTGCAGCGGGTACAGGGGGCTGAGGACCGCGCCCCCCTCGGCGCCGCCCGGGGGCGTCTGCACCAGCGGGCGCAGGGCCTCGGCGCCCAGGTAGCTGATGGCGTTGTTGATGGCCTGGTCCATCACGTGGGTCTGCATCAGCTCGTTCTCCTTCTCGTAGCCGCTGCCGCCGTCGTAGGGCGCGTCCGGCAGGCACTTGTCCCCTGTGGGAGGCAGGCGGTCAGCGAGGCCGGGACCGGGGGCGACACAGCCCGCACCCCAGCCCGGGGAGGGCGAGGCAGCTCCGCCTCCGGGCAGCCTGGCAGCCCGCCTGGGGGGCACTTAGGGGGATCCGGTGGACAGATAGTAAGCAGGCCGGGAAACAAAACGGTGCCCGTCCACCTACAGCACAGATTCGAATGGACCGAGCCAGGGCCGTGTCTTTTCTAGACAGAACTCTGTATTAATTACACACGGCTACATGTGAGCTCGACGCTGGAACGAGTATGTCAGTGCGGTGCTCTGAGCCACTCATAACTCGTCACACACTCATTCCAGTAACTGTGTGATGATGTGGTTACTCACAGCAGCGGGCCACGCACGGACTCGGGATAACATGACATAATGTGCTTAAATGCGGAGCTGGGCTCTTCGGGGAGGAAGCCTACCAGCGGGAGAGCCGCACGTCTGTGCGATGGAATTCCTACCCACGCGACGGGCTCCCCGAAGACCCACCCGCCCCGCCCCGCGCCCCCGGGGGATCCCGCTGCCTCACCCTCGGCCGCCGCCCCGGGACCGGCCCGCAGAGACGCAGAGACGGGAGAGCACCGGGTGGGGGAGGCGCGCTCACCTGCTCCGGCAAAACGTGACCGAGCAGGAGACGCCCCGGGAGCGACTGCCCGGGACCCGCCACGAGCACGCGCTGCCCACGGACACCCACGTCTGAGCTCGTCTGCAGGAAGCGGATTCCCGCGAGAGCTGACATCTGTGTGGCTTCGGAGCGAACGTTTTCATAAAGAGCTAAAACGAACTTCCGCGAAGGACACCTTCTGGGAACATGGGTTGTAAGCTCCGCGGAGCCGAGGCCGCGGGTGGGTCACGTCACGGTCATCGTCAGGCCTGGGGCTGCTCTACTCCCAGGCGGGGAGGTCATAGGACGTGTGTGAGGCCGCCGTGTGTGGGACCATTTACATCCCGCCCCCCGCCCCCCCTCTTTCCTTCCTTCCACACATCTTCCCTGACCATCTACGGACCCGACAGCGGGACAGAGAGGAGAGCCAGGAAGAATGGTCCCCGTCCTCGCAGCACAGAGGGGGGGGGACCCCGAAGCTTGATTACAGGGTGCATCCCGCGTCCTCTGGACGGTGTCGCCCAGGCTCCCGGTGGGGGGTGGGAGGGGGGCGGTCAGCCGGAGAGCGGCTTTGGGTCCCGCAGCGAGAGGAACCCGGTCAGAGGAGCCTGGAGCTTGGGGGCGGGTGAAGGTCGTGGGGCCCGAGCCCTGGGCACAGGGTGGGGGGCCGCGCGGGCTCGGGGGGCAGGGTAGACCCGACAGAGGCTTGGGCCAGAGGACGACTGAAGCCACTGAGGGCTGAAGGGAGAAAGCCCGTCTCAAGTCCCCAGGGCAGAGCAGGCGGGAGGGACGGAGGAGGGAGCGGACGCTGCTCGCCCAGGAGTCCCAGGCAGTCGCTGAGGGTGGCGGGAGGAGGGGCAGGAGGGTCCCACACCTCCACGCTGACGCCGACATCCATTGATTTTTAGAGAGAGTGGGAGGGGAGAGACCGAGAGAGAAACATCGATGTGAGAGGGACACATGGACTGGCTGCTTCCTACACACACCCTGACTGATACCCAGGCCGGGGAGGAGCCTGCAACCGAGGTCTGTGCCCTTGACCGGAATCGAACCCGGGACCCTTCGTCCGCAGGCCGGCGCTCTAACCACTGAGCACTGGCCAGGTACTAATAATTCTTTAGAAAGCTCTGTGGCCATCGGTAATGGCCCAGGAGTCGGTCTCGCCCTCCAAGTGCCTTAAGGCCTCATTTCTCGCCTGTAACGGACATTCATCACATAACAGCTTGGCTCCCGTTCATTTTAACACACGGGGAGGGGGGAGGGAGTCAGGGAGGCACAGGCCCTGACAATGTGCTGGGCCGTCCTGAGCCCTGGTGGGCGGCCAGCCGCCCCCTCCGCCGACAGCGCCAGCAGGGCTGCCCGTGCCAGGGGGTGAGGGCACAGAGGAGGCCCGCGGAGGGGCGGACGGCAGGACGGAAACCACGACTGCCCCGTGTTGGGTTGAGGTGCTAAGGTCGTTACCCTCACCCAGGACAGGATGTGGCCGCTCGGGCTCACGCCCAGCCTTCCCTCATCAGATCTGGCGGGGAGAGGGGGGCGTGGCCCTGCGGACGATTCTCATAAACGCAAAAGTGCCTGTGGCCCCCCCAAGCCACCCTGCTCACCCCCCAAGGTCATGGCCCTCTGGTTCCCCGGGGAACCAGCGAAACCGGGTGTTTTAAAGCTTGGTGTCGACAACAGACGGATGTGGGGGACACACACACACACACATGTTTCAGAAGATGGTGGCCGAGTGACACAGCCTCAGGACTCCTGCTCCCTGACACCCCACGAAGGAGTAAATGAACCCCCCAATCCCCGGGGGCGACCGGTGAAGAGGGGCACGTCCTGAGGAGACGCATGTGTGGGCAAGTCCAGGACCAAGGAGGGAGCACCTGGCCTGGCTGCTCACCTCACCTCCCAGTCCTCCCGTGGGACAGCCCAGCCCCGGCCCCCGAACCCCGCATCAGCTCAGCATCCGGGCGGCAGGGGCTTCTCGCCACGCTGAGCAAACACCGCGGCCACCTCTGCGCTGCGGACAGGTGCCCGGGACCGCGGAGCCTGAGGGGTCCTTGCGGTGAAGCCGCCCCCTGCGCGGGGGGCCCATGCCCGGGGTGGGAAGCCCGCCCCACCAGGGTCCGTGCCGAGGAGTGGGAGGCATTTAACCCCATCTCAGCACGAGGGGGAGCAAGCCGAGAGACGGCCTTTCAGCCCGGCCGGTGTAGCTCAGCGGTTGCGCATCGACCCAGGAGCCAAGAGGCCACCGGTTCGATTCCCGGTCAGGGCACAGGCCCGGGCTGCGGGCTCCCTCCCTGGTGGGGGGTGTGCAGGAGGCAGCCGATCGATGCTATTTCTCTCTCATCCATCCCTCTCCCTTCCTCTCTCTCTAAAAAGAAAATCAATAAAAGCACAGACATTTACATAAAAGAGACAGCCTTTAACAACTCCACCCCGCCTCACCTGACTCCCCACCCCCCTCGGCACTCTTTCAAGATTCAGAGACGCCCATCGGCAGCTCTCACAGGAAGAAAACGCCCCAGATACAGTGGGAAGGATGTCGGGCCCTCAGCCGATCGGCACCAGCCCGAGAAGAGCGAGGAGATGAAAGGCCACGTCCTCTCGCTGCGAGAGCACCTCTGGCGGGTCAAAGGGAGGAGGAAGCCGCACAGCCGCCGAGCGAGCTGCCCGGAGGAGCGCGGACTTCACAGAAGAGAGGAAGCGCTGGTCGGGGCTTCGTGCCGCGGACCCCACAGAAGACCCCGGAAGGCTGAGCGTCACAACAGGATGCCCTGCAGAGGAGCTGCGGCCTCCGCCCGAGCTCATCCTCACGGCGTGGCCCCCGAGTGGACGCGTGGGGCCGAGGCAGCAGCAACAGAACGGGCAGCGCCGTGCAGGCGCGGACAGAGGCAAGCGCAGCCCGGGCGCACGCAGAGAAGAGAGAGGGTGGCGTCCTCACAGACATGCAGGACAGGCGACCCGACAGGAGAGCTGGTGGCCCCCAGAGAGGCCGCGGGAGAGGGGGCAGAGAGGCCCTCCGAGAAGAGAACTTCCGGAAAAGAAGGGGAGACGGGAGTCCCCAGGGTCACACGCTGGGAAACTCGAACCCGAGCGCGAAGCTCCACGTCCTGTCCCGGGGGACACTGAACGCCAAGGTTGGGGAAAGCGCTCTCGCGGGATTTCGGGAGAAGACGAGGTCCCGCCATCATCATCTTGGCTCTGAGAGGCTCTCGGGGACACAAAGGGTCCCGATGCCACCCGCGCGGCCCAGGGCTCTGCAGGTAGAAAGGAGCGGGCGGCCGCCGCCAATACCGACGCCAATACAACGCCTCGCGGCTTTTCTTGCAAAAAGTTGCATGACTGTGGCGGCGGTCGGCACTGCCACAGAACGGGCCCCTTTCTGGCCGGGCGCTAGTCCCGTGGGCCTGTGTCTAGGCTCTCAGAGGATGACTTCTTTGATGGCAAGGAATGCAGCCACCAAAACCAATACTTATTTACACTCATGTCCAAGTTTAATTTTAATCACAGGCCACAAATTAGGCCAAAATATATGCCATTCTGAGCAATTTGCAACATGAACACGCTCTCAGCTCGTGGTTCTAAGGCGCATCCAGTGTTAAGAGCACTGCCAACCCCATCGGGCCTGTGGGTCCCCAGAATAGCTCTGGGCAGGAGGCGTCAGGCCCCCATCACAGATGGGGCCACTGAGCCCGGTGATGAGCTCCAGGGCACCAGCCAGCCTCCTGGATGCAAACCTGGAGGCTCTCCACGGCTCCCGCCCCCTTACCGGCCGGCGTGTGACAACAGCTCCTCCCTGGCCTCTGAGTTTACATCGAGGATTAGCCCGTCCAGTGGTAAAGGGACCTGGAGACCCGCCTCCCGTTTGACTGCAGAGGAGGAGAAGGTGCGCCAGGTGGGGGGGGGAACTGAGCTCCCAGCAACCGAGGGCCGTCGTTTTAGAAAAGCCTGGCATCGCCAGCCTCTGGGGAAACACCGGCAGGCACAGGGCAGGCACAGGGCAGGCACACGGCAGGCACAGGGCAGGCACAGGGCAGGCACACGGCAGGCACATGGGCAGGCACATGGACAGGCACACGGCAGGCACATGGACAGGCACACGGCAGGCACATGGCAGGCACACGGCAGGCACAGGGCAGGCACATGGACAGGCACACGGCAGGCACACGGCAGGCACATGGCAGGCACATGGACAGGCACACGGCAGGCACATGGGCAGGCACAGGGCAGGCACAGGGCAGGCACACGGCTACCAGTGGTCGGCAAACTCATTAGTCCACAGAGCCAAATATCAACAGGACAACGATTGAAATTTCTTTTGAGAGCCAAATTTTTTAAACTTAAACTCTATAGGTAGGTACAGAGTTATTAACTTCATTAGGGTCCTCCTAAGGCTTAGGAAGAGCCACACTCAAGGGGCCAAAGAGCCGCATGTGGCTCCCAAGCCGCAGTTTGCCGACCACGGGCTAGGTACATGCAGGCACACGGCAGACACACAGGCACACGGCAGGCACACGCAGGCACAAACAGGCACACGGCAGGCACACACAGGCACACGGCAGGCACACACAGGCACACGCAGACACACACAGGCACACGGCAGGCACACACAGGCACACAGCAGGCACACGCAGGCACACACAGGCACACACAGGCACACGGCAGGCACACACAGGCACACGCAGGCACACGGCAGGCACACACAGGCACACGCAGGCACACACAGGCACACGGCAGGCACACGCAGGCACACACAGACACACACAGACACACACAGGCACACGGCAGACACACGGCTGCGGCCGCCTTCTGATGCTTGTTTTGCGCACACACTGGGGCCTGCACAGCCTCATGGCCCAGGACCCGGCTTTTGTTTTTTTTAAACGTGGGAGCTCCGATGCCTCAAGACAGCACCTACACTGGGGTCTCCCCGGCGGCAGCCGCAGGGGTTCCACAGAGGCTCACGGGGCGGAGTCTCCAAAAGCTCAAACCGGCCCACCTTCCCCACAAAGGCCTTGGCAGGGCGAGGAGGAAGCTGCCCAGCGCCCCTTCCCAGAGGCAGTGACCCCAACAAGCCTCTGGCCTCCACTGCGTCCGCCCTGCTGCCTCTCCCTGGTCCCCGACAGCCACCGCCCTACCGCCAGGGGTGGGCCCCGCACCCCCTCAGCCCAGGGGTGGGCCCCGCGCCCCCTCAGCCCAGGGGACTTGACGCCCCAAGGCCAGCAGCCTCCTGGGGCCCATGACTCCGCCCCATGCTGCTCAGGAAGTGCAGGGCTCCTGGGCACAGCCTGCAGCTCACACGTGTGGGCGGCTCCCCAGCGTCCCAGCCGGTGGTTTGCAAAAGTGTCTTTAACTTCCTTCCGCCACCTTCTCACTCCCCAACCACCCACAGTCCTCCCTTTAAAGCCTGTGCTCCCCCCTGAGGGCCCTCCCTGTCCCCCCTGAGGCCCCTCCCTGTCCCCCCTGAGGCTCCTCCCTGTCCTCCCTGAGGGCCTCCCTGTCCCCCCTGAGGCCCCTCCCACGTCCTCTGTCTATTTCATCCCAGTGGTAACAGTTGACCTCAATACTGACAGTTGCTAAATGTTCTCACAACCTTGGCCTTACTTTACAAAACCCAGTGAGACACAGAATAAACCAAGGCCACCGTGTTAGCGCGTGGCCGTGACCGACACCCAGGTGGCCCCAGCCGCGCCTCTGCCCTCCTGTCTGCCCTCCTGTGCGGCCTGGTGACGCTCGGCGCGTCTGCCCATCACCCACAGCGGACGGCGCGCTCCTGCGGGCGGTACCCCGCGCGCCCTCACAGCCCGTCACAGGTGGAGACGCCCCTGGGAGCACACGCCCGGCCGGGCCCCCCTCCAGGGCTCTCCTCCCGACAGGCGCTGCCCAAGTCTGCCCAGGACCCTGCAAGGGCGGGGGAGGGCGCTCCGTGTGACAACGGCCGCGCCCAGCTCAGGCTGGGGTGTCCAGCTGTGCTGTGAGCCAGGCCGAGTCAGGCCGCGCTCGGACCCCTGGGCCCACGGACCCGCCACCCCCAGTGTCCACGTTCAGACCCTGGGCCCACGGACCCGCCACCCCCAGTGTCCACGCTCGGACCCTGGGCCCACGGACCCGCCACCCCCAGTGCCCACGCTCGGACCCTGGGCCCACGGACCCGCCACCCCCAGTGTCCACACTCGGACCCTGGGCCCACGGACCCGCCACCCCCAGTGCCCACGCTCGGACCCTGGCCCACGGACCCGCCACCCCCAGTGCCCACGCTCGGACCCTGGGCCCACGGACCCGCCACCCCCAGTGTCCACGCTCGGACCCCGGGCCCATGGACCCGCCACCCCCAGTGTCCACGCTCGGACCCTGGGCCCACGGACCCGCCACCCCCAGTGTCCACGCTCGGACCCCGGGCCCACGGACCTGCCACCCCCAGTGCCCACCGAGTGTCCACAGGCAGGTCCTAGCCAGTGCCCGGCCCCGACACCATCCAGCTGAGCCCCCGGGGGAATGTCTGAACTAGGTGAACCCCTTGGGGAAAGCCCAGGCGCTAAGGAAGGCCCCCCCCCCCCCCCCCGTCTGCTTTCTCCGACCCTCCGCTAGCGACCGGGAGGCTCACACCCACACCGATGATCTTAAGAGACAGCAAACGTGGAACTCTTACCAACGAATTTCTGAGGCAGAGAGCTCTTACGTTTGGCGACGTTACTTGCGAGTCTGTCCAGCACGAGGGCCCGCTCGGCGCCCGCCTTGCACAGGTCCTCGGCCGCCTCGCCGTGGTTCGCCTCCTCTTTAATAACTAGAACCAAAGACACGGGAGGGCGCTCAGGGACGCTGACGGGACCACCCGGTCGCCCAGCGTCCACCTGACACGCGTTAGAGGCCCACAAAGCCAGGCCCTCGCCCGGCCGGGTGGCTCAGTGGCTGAGCATCGACCTGTGAACCAGGAGGTCAGGGTTTGATTCCCGGTCAGGGCACGTGCCCGGGTTGCAGGCTGGATCCCCAGTGGGGGGCGTGCAGGAGGCAGCCGATCCGTGATTCGCTCTCATCATTGGTGTTTCTCTCTCTCTCTCCCTTCCTCTCTGAAATCAATGAAAATATTTTTTTAAAAAGTAGCCAGGCCTTCAGCAGAGATGATTTCTCCTCTTCTCAGTGACCGGCCAGGGACAGAGCTGCCCAGAGTCACCTGCTCAAGGCCCCCCTGCTCTGCACGTCCGCCCCCAACACCCAAGGGCTGGGCCTCACCACTGTCCCTGAAAGTGGACAGTGATGACTGTGTCCCTTTGACCCGTCCCCTTAGCGTTTCGAATATTCCCCAACCCCCGGCCAAGCCTGAGGGGGCCTCTGGGAACCCAGGGAAGCCAGAGCCAGCCAGCCCGGGCCCGCCCCACCCCCAGCCCCGTGGATGGACGGACGGAGGGGCAGAGGAGACGCTCAGGACGCCGCGGCAGGCCCTGGCAGTGCGGGGAGAGCAGGCTCCGCTGGGACCCTGAGCCGCAGGAAAACCACGGGCCACGGAGACTGCAAGGGTCAGAGCCAGAGGGAGCTGCGGGCGGGGAGCCTGTGGCCTCCGGTTCTCCTCACGCCTGCGCTCTCTTCCCCGCGGACGACACAGCTCTGCCTCCTGCAGGGTCTCGTCTGGAAGTGGAACCCTTCCATCTCCCCACGATTTACCCACAGACACAGGGCTGAGTACGCGGGGACCCCCCTCCATGCTCAGTGCCCCCGTCCGGCCTCCAAGCCCATCTGACCCCCAGATGCATGGGAAGCGGATCCTGCACCCCCTCCCCCCGGCCGTCTGTCCCTCGAGGAGCCCGTGTTGCAGCTGCAGTTTAACAGGCACCAGACGGCGCTCTGCTTGCAAAGCCGCCAACTCCCCACCGACTTCCCCAGGGTCCTTCCTGCTACACGGCCCCCAGGTGCCAGCCAGATGCCCAAGCCCCTGTGCTGCTGGCCACGCCCGGGTCTGAGGGACACCCCCCCCCACACACATCTCTCTGGCCTCCGCGTGGCTCCTCCTCACGCCCGCGCACCGCCTGCTACGGTTGTTTCTCATCGTTCTGTCTTCGCTGGGCGCTCTGAGTGCCACGGTGAGAAAATCTCTCTCTGCTTGGTCCACGGCACCGTGTTCGTCACACTGGACACGAGGAACGTGTGTTTGTTACACGGCCAACCCGATGCCCTAACCCTCCCTTTGCCGTCGCACTCCCCCCCGACGGGCTTCCGTAGGCTCCGTCCCCTCCCTCTCCCTCTCGAGGGCCTGGCCAGGCCAAAGGGGTTTCCCCTCTGCCAGGAGGCTGGGTCCTGAGGGAACCTCAGGGCCGTCTCAGTGAGGGACACACCAGCCCCAGCTCCCAGCTCCCGGCCTCTCTGCCCCCCGCTCCCGCGAAGGGCCCCTGAGCCTCCAGCGAAACCTGTGTCCGCACGGACAGGACCCAAGTACAACAGGTGACCAGGGTGCCCTTGACTCAGAGCTACTGTGGTCACCCACACTCATCTCTACATCCTGTATGTACACCCCCTTCTGTTCGCACCTCATCCCAAGGCCGGGCCCGGCTAAGGGGCGGAGAGGGGAGAGCCTGCACGGGCGCCCACTGGGCGGGTGGGGCCTGGGAAGGACAGGGGACCGGAGGCAGGGAGGGCACAGCCATGCCCAGCAGCCAGGGGCCCCCGCCCCCCGCCTGCCCCCAGCCCAGCCGCCGTCTCGGGGGACTGGTCCATGTGCCTCCGTGGGTTCCCAGGGCCTTCGCCATGCCTCGGGGACACCCCGGGAGGGACTCCAGGCTCCCGGAGCGCCAAGCGGCCAAGGCAGGACGCGGTGACTCTGACCGTCGAGCACACGGACGGTCGCCGTCTCAGCCGACTGCCGTCGAGGGCAGGACAGAACCGAGTGTCGGGGGCAGCACTTGGGTGCCCTGGCCCCGCGTTCAGGTACATGCGTGACCCGCGTGGACGCTCCACGCTCTCACGCCGGCGCCCCCTCTCGGTTCTTCCTGCGCAGTCGGCCCGGCAGGAAGTGTCGCTCCCGTACCTTTTCTCCTCTGGTTAGCCCTCCCCGGGGGTGTGCTCCACTGATGTTTAGAAAGCGTGAACGGAGGGGGGGGCCGAGAGAACAGCGGTGTGAGGGAGGCTCGTGGGCTGGCTGCCTCCCGCACACGCCCAGACCGGGGCAGGGGATCGAACCTGCAAACAAGGTGCGTGCCCTTGACTGGAACCGAACCTGCGACCCTTCAGGTCTGAGGGCCGGCGCTCTGCCCACTGAGCCACACCGCCGGGGCTTGGCTGCTTTCATTTCACTGGGGGGCGTCGCCAGAGCTGTGCAATGCGTGCTGCTGAGGCGGGGCCAAGTCAAGCCGTGCTCTCGCGCCCACGACCGGACAGCCTGGGAGCTTAGTGGACACACCTCATGCAAGCCGTCTCTCCAGCGTGTTCACGTCCTGTCTTGGTGACTCAGCACAAAGAAGCAACCAGTGCTCCCTGCTAAAATCCATTGCCCAGCCCTGGCCGGTGTGCTCAGTGGTCAGAGCGCCGGCCACAGACTGAAGGGTCACTGGCCCCATTCCCGGTCAAGGGCGTGTACCTCGGTTGGAGGTTCAATCCCAGACCCCGGTTGGGGCGCGACTGGGAGGCAACCCATCGGTGTGTTTCTTTCACGTCGATGTTTTTCTCTCTTTCCGCTCCCCTGCCCTCCACTCTTTAAAAATCAATGGAAAAAATATCCTTACTCCTTGGGTGAGGATTAAAAACAAAAGTTACCAAAAATTAAAAAAAAAGAAAAACCACATAAAAAATAAACCCCAAAATGTCAACGGTCACTAGTATCTGAGAAACTCCCCCAGATTTCGGGGGCGGGTTCGAGGCCACGCCCTCTGGGGGACGGGGCTCCGGGTCCTGGGGCGGCCGGGCGGGCGGCCGGGCGGGCGGGCGCTTACCTGGGTAGAGCGTGCCGGGGAGGCCCATGGTTTGCAAGTAGTTGTGGCAGCGCTCTTTATGTTCCTCTAAGGAGCTTCGCTGCTTATAGCTCCGGCCACAGTATCCACATTTGTGAGGTTTACCAACTGCAGAGACAGAACCGAGTTCGAGACCCCGATTAAACGCCGGCCTCGGGGAGGGGAGCGGGCAACACAGCCGCCAGCCAGGCGGCAGCAGGCCCTGCCCTCAGAGCTCAGAGCGCCGGGACCGGCCAGAGCTGCCAACCGTCACCAGGCCAACGCCAAGGGGTTTCCTCGATGCCCCCGGGACCCCTGCGCGTCCCGCTCCCCCTGCGCTCGCCCCTGTTCTGACCACGTCTCTCCTGCGGAAGGCGCTGTCCTCCACCCGGAGGGAACGCGCCCCCGCGGGGTGACAGGGGTCGGGTCCCGGGCAGAGGTGGGAGGGAGGCGCGTGCTGGCCAGTCATATAAGATTCTTGCCCTGGCCGGTGTGGCTCAGTGGACAGAGCGTCGGCCTGCGAACTGAAAGGTCCCAGGTTCGATTCTGGTCAAGGGCACAGGCCCAGGTTGTGGGCTCAATCCCCAGTGGGGGGCTTGCAGGAGGCAGCCGATCCATGATGCTCTCTCACCATGGATGTTTCTCTCTCTCCCTCTTCCTTCCTCTCTGGAATCAATAAAAATATATTAAAAAATAAAGATTCTTTTCCTCGGTTGGACTCCTGTCCTGGGGCCAGACCTAAGGCAGCTCGAGGAAACCCCACCCAGCAGGAGCGGGGTGACGGAGGCCTCAGGAAACCCACGGCGATGAGCATCTTCGATGCTGTGAGCATGTATTTTCCAAACGGCGTTGTCTTGTCTCACTTCAAGTTCTGTGTTTCTCCCGAAGGCCCCAGGAGGGCGAGGTTTCCAGATCCGTCCCATCCAGCTGGACGCACTACGAAGGGGCCTGTTCTACCTGCGCGTCCAACGGGGCGGCCACCAGCCACCTGCGGCTGCTGAGCACTGGCCGGTGAGCAGTGTCCGGAGGACGAAGCTCTCGCCCTGCTTAGCTGTCACGGATGACGAGGTCAATGCCAATGCCACGCATGGCGGGCAGCGGCTCCAGGCGGTGAGTGGAGATCTTCCCCCCGTTGTGGGGCAAGGCTGTGGGAAGGGGACTAGGATTCCCCTCGGGCCTGAGTTTTCAGACTTTCCTACTGGACCTTTACCGGCTGAGACAGACAAAGGTCTTCAATGACTTCGATAAAGAACATGCGCTACCACCCTGGCCGGTGTGGTTCAGTGGATAGAGCGTCGGCCTGCGGACCGAAGGGTCCCGGGTTCGAGTCTGGTCAAGGGCACGTGCCTCGGCTGCAGGCTCCTCCCCGGCCCAGGCCTTGTCCAGGGCGCGTGCAGGAGGCAACCCATCGGTGTGTTTCTCACATCGATGTTTCTCTCTGTCTCTCTCTCCCTCTCTCTCTAAAATCAAAGGGAAGATATCCTGGGGTGAGGGTTAACCCAAAAGAAGAATGTGCACTTCCATCCTCAGACCAGCGCAGTCTCCTTCCTTCTGCTCACGTTGGATTCACTCACTTGAAATTCTCACATAAAAATCAAACCATCCGAGTCGGCATGTTGGGCGAAATGGGCAACCGCAGCTTGTACTGTCCGCAGGTGGACGGAAGCGATGGTTCCGGAGACCAAGACAAAACCCGCAGCATTCCGGAACGTTCCAGAGGAGAAAAGGACCGCCACCTGCAGAAGGTGCCGGATCCCTAACACCATGGAAATAATGCTGAGATACAGGACGCTGCCTGAGCCGAGTGCGCCTTTAGGACAAGCAGCCCTTAGAGAGCCCCTCGTGTCCTTTCCTGGAAAAGCCGGAACCTCAGCGAATGTCCGGGATACGTCCTGGGGTCTGGGTGCCCATCACTGCGCATGTGATGGGTGTGGACTCTGGGCCCAGGAAACGCGTCCACGGTGACAGCGGAACTGACGTGCACAGCGAAGCATCGCCCGGTGCGCTCCAGGGAGAAAGTCTCCGGGGAAACACGCAACTTCCCGGGAAGCGGTGACGAAGGAAGGTCCCCGCCCCCGCTGTCAGTGTGGGGCAGTCCTGCAGGGACCTCGCTCCTCGCCACTCGCACAGCCGCTGGGAAGCCGGGAGCCGGAGGGAGTCGTTGGCAGGTGGCGGGGTGGCTGTTTCCCCAGCACGGGAGGCGGCCACGTTCCTGAATCCTTTTCCCGAGAGCCGTGCGTCCACGGCACCGGGAGACGTCAGAGGGACCAGCAGCCCGGGCGCAGGATGGCTTTCTCACGACAGGACGGCCCCTCGCTCATCGTGGCCCCAACAGGCGTAAAGCCCGCCTCTGTCACCGAGAATTCCTCACTCAGCGGAGAGAGGACGCCGCGGCGCCTCGAAGGAAACAGGCAGGCGTGCAGCCGGGTTCCCCTAAAACCGTGGTCGGCAAACCACGGCTCGGAAGCCACATGCGGCTCTTCGGCCCCTTCAGTGTGGCTCTTCCACAAAATACCACGTGCAGGCGCGCACGTACAGTGCGATTGAAACTTCGTGGCCCATGTGCAGAAGTCGGTATTTTGTGGAAAAGCCACACTGAAGGGGCCAAAGAGCCGCATGTGGCTCGCGAGCCGCGGTTTGCCGACCACGGCCCTAAAACACCGACCCGCACCCCCGAGCGTCACAGCGGGCAGGACAGGGCAGCCCCCCTATGCTCCTGGGACTGGCGAGGATGCAGGAGAGGTTCTGTTGTAAGTCAGCGTCACCCCGGACGCCGTGAGCTGAGGACGAGCCGGGGGGAAGGTGTGCTTCCTCCCCGGCCGGTGCCCGTCCCCTGGCTGATGTCTGCCTGGCCCCTCAGCGTCACACCTGAGGCCTGACGGGCCCTGCTGGCCCCTTAGTCCCTGCACGCCTTCCTTTTGTCACCGACACACGGAAACAGGAGAGACGCCCACTGTCGCTCATCACCCTCCCACTGTGCGGAGGCCCCGGTCGCCTGCAGCACCTGCCCCCTCCCGGGTGGGGCAGGTGACCTTGACCCCACGGTGACCCTGGCCGACCTGCTCGCTCGCTGGGCGGAGCCGCTCCTCCGCGTTGTGCGGCTCCTCTCCTGGCAGCTTTTAAGACCTCACCCCAAGGGTCACAAGTAAACAACCACGCGTGTTTTGGGAGCCTCCTCCTTATGGATGACCAGGAAGGAGGCCAGGACGGAGAGGGGACGCCTGGGGCTCCGGGACCCCAGCCCCTCGTTCCAGGGTGAACTCCGAGGCTGTGCTGGCAGGACCGTGACCGGCGTCCACAGCGCGTGCTCACCGGCGCCCGAGCCCCTCGGGGCCACTTGCTGAACTGCGCATCCGGGGGTGCCTCTGAAGGTGAGTCAGGCCTCCCCTCTCAGCCTGCACTCGGGCCTTTTCTGCTGGAGTCTCCCTGAGGCCTCCCACCCAGAGGCGGCCCGCCCCGCGTGCTCCCCACCCCCCGGACACTGTGTCACCGCATGGGGAGGGGGGCTTTGCTGCCTGGCATCTGTCTCCTCCCCGGGAGAGGGGGTGCTGGGGTGCCTGGCACATGGGGACACATCCATGGACCCAGAAGAGGCCCCTGGACCCGACACTAACTACACGCGCTCCCCTTGGGGAGGGAGAGGGTCTGAGCCCAGGAAACCCTGCCCTGCTCCAGGGGTGGCCCCTCTGATCGGTGCCGCCCGAGAGATCAGAGGTCGTGAGGGAGCTGGTCTGCAGCCTCTCTCGGTCCCAGGGCCCTGCTCGGGGGAGACAGCCTGGTGGGCATGGGCGGCCCCATGGGCAGGGCCAGGGCCTGTCACCTCCGTCCCAGGCCTCCTGCAGGGCAGGGGCCCACCCGCAGGCCCACCTCCCTCCTCTGGCCGGTAAGAGTGGGGCCACCGGGTCAGGGGAAACAGCGGCAGAGATCTGATCTGAGGCCGTGTTTCACGGTGGGAGCTGAGGACGGGCTTCCTGCTCACTGCGACGCAGCTGGCCCTCCCGCCCCTGGGTGTGCTGGCCACATGTGGGGCGTGTCCTCCTGGCGGAGGGATGACGGCTCCCCGTGCGGGAGTTACACTCGGGCCCAGTGGGGACAGCGTGCCCTCAGGGGACAGGTGTCCACCCATCAGGACAGGCCCTGGTGAGGTCATTATCACCTTTGCAATGATGGCTACTGAGCTCCTGAGACCCTGTGTGTGGCCTGACAAGCCACACAGACATGTATTTGGGGCTTTCTGGGCATTAGCGTGACGCCCAATAAGAGTACAGCTAGGACATGCTATAGGCCAGTGGTTCTCAACCTTCTGGCCCTTTAAATACAGTTCCTCACGTTGTGACCCAGCCATAAAATTATTTTTGTTGCTACTTCATAACTGTAATGTTGCTACTGTTATGAATCGTAACGTAAATATCTGATATGCAGGATGGTCTCAGGCAACCCCTGTGAAAGGGTCGTTCAACCGTCAAAGGGGTTGCGGCCCACAGGTTGAAAACCGCTGCCTTAAAAAGACCCACTTACCTGATGGGAAGGGGGAGGGGCCTCTTTGGAAATACTCTCCCGGAGGCGGGACTTCCTGTGCGATTTGCCCACCCACCTCCTCTGGCTCATGGGGAAACCACAGGATGACGGGATACGGATGCTACCCAGTCATCAGGGCTGTACCCTGGGAGCGGGCCACACAGTGGGGAGGGCTCCCTGGCCCCGCCTGTGCCCGAGGACCTACCGGAGTGCGTGCGCAGGTGGCCGGTGAGGGCGTCCCTCCGGCGGCAGGCGTAGTTGCAGAGGTGGCACTTGAAGGGCTTCTCCCCGGAGTGCAGCTTGATGTGGCGCAGCAGGTTGCCCTTCTGTGTGAAGGAGGCCCCGCACTGGCTGCACTGGAAGGGCCGCTCTCCTGCAGGGAGACGGGGCGGTGAGCACAGGCCCGGCCCCAGGAGGACCCGAGGGGGACACCCTGGACAAGAGGGGGATGCACCCTGGACGAGAGGGGGATGCGCCCTGGACGAGAGGGGGCCGCGCCCTGGACGAGAGGGGGCCGCGCCCTGGATGAGAGGGGGACATGCCCTGGACCCGAGGTGGACGCGCCCTGGATGAGAGGGGGACACGGCCTGAACAAGATGGGGACACGCCCTGGACGAGAGGGGGACACGCCCTGGACGACAGGGGGCCGTGGGCAAGAAAGTTGCTTCCCAGGGGCAGCGACGTCCACCGGCTGCAGGTCTGACAGCACGTCAGGCTCTCAGAGCAACCTGCCAGCCCCTCACGCTTCACTGGTCGGGTCAATTTGATCTGAAAATCTAATTTTTTCCCCTAAATCAGAGCGGCACATCACAATGCAAATTCAAGCTCATTTGAATAAAGCGGCTGCAACGTGCTGTGATGAGGAACCGCTCTTCCTGATCAGCAGTTTTGGAATAAACCAATATCCAGTTCTGCGTGTTGTGGCATTTGGTGGGGCTTTTTAATGTGGCTTTTTTCAAAAGGGTCTTTAAAATATGCCACTGAAGCAGCAAAATAAAAAGGAAACTCATTAAAAATGCATTTCAGGATCACAAGTTCATTTCAGCGTTACATTCTTATATTTAAATGAAAGGCAGTTCATTATAACACTTATAATAACTTCTTTTCATTTACATCTCCCTGTATTTCCCTTTCAATTTCTTCTCCATTACCTGTCTGTCCCTTCGCAGGCGACCAGGAAGGAGACAGACGGAGAGAGAGTGTGGGGACAGGCAGGAGGAGGAAGAGCCGAGAAAAGGCGGCGTGAAGACCGGGATGGAAACTCCGCATCGTCCGAAAGCCCGCGCCACCTGGCCCGGCAGCGCCTGGAGAGGCGTCCCTGCCGCCCTAACCGCGAGGCCACGGCGGGGCCTGCCCACAGGTGTGGCAGCCTCACTGCGGATACGCGAGGATGCCGTGTAGTTGTGACCCGGGTTCTCTCCGGGCGGGGCCGTGGGCGGGTGGCAGAGGACGGGGTCCCGGTCTGCTGTGTGGGCAGCGCATGCCCCTAAGTTCTGGGCCCGACAGGGGAGCAGCGGGCACCTGGGACAATGCGCTCTGAGGCAGTGCGGGCGCTGGACTCGCAGCTGGGACCCGCCACTCAGCGCTCACCTTCATGGCGAGGCCCGTGTCCTGTTCGGGCAACACGGCAGCTCCCCCAAAACAGATGCTCTACGTACGACCACCCAGCCTGGCGCTGAGCTGCCGTGAAACACGCCTGGCGCTGATCTGCCATGAACACGCACCTGGTGCTGAGCTGCCATGGAAACACGCCTGGCGCTGAGCTGCCACGAAAACACGCCTGGATCTGAGCTGCCACGAAACACACCTGGCGCTGAGCTGCCACGAACACACGCCTGGCGCTGAGCTGCCACGAACACACTCCTGGTGCTGAGCTGCCACGAACACACTCCTGGTGCTGAGCTGCCACGAACACACTCCTGGTGCTGAGCTGCCACGAACACACTCCTGGTGCTGAGCTGCCACGAACACACTCCTGGTGCTGAGCTGCCACGAACACACCCCTGGTGCTGAGCTGCCACGAACACACTCCTGGTGCTGAGCTGCCACGAACACACGCCTGGCGCTGAGCTGCCACGAACACACTCCTGGTGCTGAGCTGCCATGAAAACACACCTGGCGCTGAGCTGCCACGAACACACTCCTGGCGCTGAGCTGCCACGAACACACGCCTGGCGCTGAGCTGCCACGAACACACGCCTGGCGCTGAGCTGCCACGGAAACACGCCTGGCGCTGAGCTGCCACGAACACACGCCTGGCGCTGAGCTGCCACGAAACACGCCTGGCGCTGAGCTGCCACGGAAACACGCCTGGCGCTGAGCTGCCATGGAAACATGCCTGGCGCTGAGCTGCCATGGAAACACGCCTGGCGCTGAGCTGCCACGGAAACATGCCTGGCGCTGAGCTGCCACGAAACACGCCTGGTGCTGAGCTGCCACGAACACACTCCTGGTGCTGAGCTGCCACGAACACACATCTCCTGGGAACAGATTTTTCTTAGGAAAACGAACCCATTATGATGCGTATTTCACAGTTTTCCCAACGGACTCACATGGCGTGTGCACTGTCATTTATCCAAAGTGACCCAGCCATGGCCTCCGTCCTGGTGAAATCGGCACCAGTGTCCCCCACCCCGGGCCGCGGGGCACCCGGCGTCACAGCGCCACCCTTTCTGTGGTGAGGTGGTGCTGCTACGGCTGCCAGAGCTGATGCGCAGTGACACCCACTGTAGCCGGGGGGGGGGGGGGGGGGGGGGGGGGGGGGGCGCTGACACTAACCAGGATGCGCGAGGCGCGCCCAAACCTGTCTGGACGGGACGCCGAGCGGAGAGGGTTAGCGCCAGCAGGCGGGAGCCAGGGCGAACGAACTAGAACTGACCCTCGAGTCACAAGCCCATGAGTGGGGGGGACCAGGCACCCCGAGGAGCGCCCCACAGAGGGAGCATGTCACTGTCTGTCAGGAACACCCCGGCCCTGCTCCCACACACGCGTGTGCATGTGCCTGTGTGACCCCAAGGAGAGAAAGGTCCCTGCGTGCGGAGGCACCCAGCCCTGGCTCTGCCCGGGGACCCTCAGACTGGGGGTTCTGGAAGGACAGTCAGTCGGGAGGTCTCATGCCGTGGGAATGCTGGTGACGGGGATGGGGGACACTCCAGTGACACGTGCTTGGACGACCCACAGCTAGAGCCCCTCCCCGTGGACGAGGCACTGAGGGTTGTGGGGGGCAAGCCCAGGTGGGGCCCTGCAGGGAGCTGGTGTCTCAGTGGAGACACACAGGACAGACCCTTGGCCTGGCGGGCGTGGCTCAGTGGTGAGCGTCGGCCTATGAACCAGGTCAGGGTTCGATTCCTGGTCAGGGCACACGGCTGGGTGTGGGCTCGGTCCCCAGTGGGGGGCGTGCAGGAGGCAGCCAATCAGTGATTCTCTCTCATCATTGATTTTTCTCTCTCTCCCTCCCTCCCGCTTCCTCTCTGGATTCCATAGAAATATTTAAAGAGAAGGAAGGACAGACCCTGGGAGCCGTGTCCCCTCCGCAGAGCAGGGCGGGAGGGAAGCCGGGGGCCGTTCCCGAGAGGGAGGCCGTGATGCGCCTGTGGCTCTGTGTGCCCTGCACTGCGGGCCCCCCGCGGCCAGCTCTCCTGGACGCCCAGTCTTCCTGCCGCGCTGGCACGCGTGCGACGGGCCCGGGACTCGCAGAGCGCGCTCCGTGAGGTGGCCACACAGCAGGGCGTGGCTCAGGCCCTCTCCCTCCGGGGGCAGCGGGGAGGGGCGGCCTGCAGTCCGATGGACGCAGAGCTGGACCCGTATCCCTGAGCGGCGAGGCCGCAGCGCCCCCTGCGGGCGGCCGGGCTGTGGGCTGAGGGAGGCCAGCTCCCCACGGCTGCCTTCAGCCTCCTGCACTCACGCGGAGTGTTAAGCCCCGGGACTCGGTAGGAAGGCCGTGCCCTTCTAGCCACTGAATTGGGTGAAGACGTGGCACCTGCCTCACATGCTCCCTGCGGGTAAATCAGAGGGAGGAGAACTGAAAAGCCCACCTGACCGCAGGCGCTGCGGGGAGCCGGTGGCCGCGCCCGGGCAGCACGCAGCCCCGTGGGCCCTGGGGCCTGGCCCCTCACGGGTGGGAACAGAAGGTCCCCCCTCTCCCCCCCGCCCAGTAACCTGGGCACATTTTTTATCTTTTCCGTTAGAAACCCCAGCGTTCAGGGCACGGTGCCGGGCGGTTTTCCTGCCCTGCGGCCTCTCCCCACCCCGCCGCCACGTCGCACCTGGACCGGGAGGCGCTGGCCGGGCCGCGCCCTCACACCTGCGTTACACGTCGAGCCTGGGCCCGGGCCCGCGTGGCTGTTTGTGGGCCGGTTCGATGCCCGGTCGGGGCATGTGCTGGGTGGTGGGCTCAGCCCCCGGTGGGGGGCGTGCAGGAGGCAGCGGTTTGGGGAACATCGGTGTCTCTCTCCCCCCCTCCCTTCCTCGCTCTCTAAAAATCAACAACAAATCGGGGGAGGAGGGAGAAGCCTCTGAAATTCGTCACAGGGTCTCTGCCCACCTTTCTTTGGGGGAAAAAAAGAAAGAAACGGAGCTGCACCACCAGGCAGTGAAGGGCGGGTCTCCAAGCCGCTCAGACGGCACCGAGACGCCGTGGGAGAGCCCCGAGAGCAGGCACCGGGGCAGTGGCCGGTGCGCGGGCTGCGGGGGCAGGGGGACGGGGCGGGTCCTGGCTTCTCGGGCTGTGCGCTCACTAGGTTCACCTAGGCCCCCAAGGAAGGGCCCTCGGAAGTGCCTGTTCGGCTGTGCCCCTGCCCCCCGCAGACGCTCGGCCCGGCCAGCACCCAGGCCTCCTCTGGGCCCGGCGGGCTCGGCCTTGTCATAGGCGCTGAGCGAGCGCCCGGCTCTCAAAGGTTGAGACTCAGGGGCCTCGGAGAGGGGCCGGTGGAGAGCGTGCGGGCCTTTTCTGCATGTTCCACTCAGATCCCCGTGCGCGGACGCCTCTGTGCAGGCCTGCGGGGTCACCCCACGCGGCCAAGTCCCTCCCTGTCCCCTCGTGACCCCTGCGCATCTGCCTGTGCGCGCACATGGAGACCGTCCCTGGTTCTGAGTGAGGAACTGGCCGTGGGAGAAGCGGGCAGCTGTCAGCCCGGGCCGCGCCCCGCCACTGTGCAGGCCTCTCCAGGGAACGCGATTCCCTGCACCGGGCAGGAGCCGGTATCCGGGCCGTGGAGGGTGCCAGGACTGACCGCGCATCCATTCATTTAGGACGCTGTGCGCGGGAGTCAGGCCCTACACGAACCCGTGGGGAAGTCACTCAGCTGGGAGGGCGACTCCTGCATTGGTGGGGGAGGGGGGGAGCATCACAGTAACCACTGTCCCCTCCCCGCACCTCACTACATGGGGCGGAGGAGAGGGGCCTGGCAGCCGTCCAGCGGGCTTCACCCACACCCGGCCTCACCGGGGACTCCAGGAGTCAGGGACCCATAGGGCAAAACAAAGTTCGCTCACTTTTAAAATATGCATTTTTACAGAAAACGAATGCTTCTTGAAAGTAGACATCTCCCCCAGATGCACGACCGATGCAAGACATCATTCTAGAAACGGCCCCGACTCAACCATGAAAGTCACAACACCGCCAAGACCTGCCCTTCCCGGACGGCTCCCTGGCCTAGTGCCCGCGGGTTCCAGCTCCTCTTCGGTGTCCCCGCCCCAGGGGACCCGCACGAGGCGGCCTCACGCCAGGGACTCCTCGGGGCACCCGCCCTGTCGCTACAGCACGTCTCCCCTCGTGGCCTGTCCCCCTCACCCCCCACCCCCCTGGGCGTGGGGCTGACGCCTGCTCCGTGACCACCTGCTGGGCCAGCCCCGGGCTGTGCGGACTCAGACACTCTGCGGCCACGGGGCTGGCACATGGACCGTTTTGCCCACATTTATGGCGGAGAGCAGCGTTTCTGTCCAAGAGACAGGGAGGCGCGGCACAGGCAAAAGCACCCCATTAGTGGGGACTGGACAGCGGAGGGGAGAAGCAGGTGATGGGGGCCCCCAGACGGAGTGCTGGGCACAGGGAGGGGCACAGGGGACTCTCCCGCCCCCGCCCCGGGGTGAGCGGACGCGGGCTGCCCGTCCTCCGTGGAGGCACTGCAACTCCCTCCCCTGTCGGGCTCCCAGGCCCCAGCAGACAGGGTGGGTGTCAGGCCCGCTCCTGACTCTGAGGTTGGAGAGGCTGCCCTGAGCGGGAGGGGAGGGGACTGCACTTTGGGAGCCGTCGCTCCCTCGGGTTCCTGCACACCCAGCCCTGACTCTGGGACGTAACACGTGTGTGCTCGGCCGGCTTCTCAGCGGACGGTCTAGGCGGAGGTTTTGGGGTTCTCATCCCTGTTTGTGAGGTCCCGTCTCGCTGTCTAAGGGCGACTCCCTGGCATGTGAACCTCACGACACCCACCGCCCCACTTAGAGGGCGCAACCTGGACACGCCGCCGCCCGCACTGGCCCGAGGCTGCCAGCCTCGTTTCGGGTTCTGGTCTCTGGGGTCGGCCTGGCGGTGAGGGAGCCCCTTTGCCTGCAGCCCCGAGGGGAGGGGGGAGAGGGAGGGGGGAGGGAAGACACGCCCCCACTGGGAGCCTCCGGGCTGTGCCCGCCTTTCCACATGCTCTGGGGCCCCCCGGCCCTGGAGGACGCGCCAGGCCTTACCCGTGTGGCTTCTCTTGTGCACCATGAGCACATTGGGGCCGATGCAAACGATCCCACAGACATCGCACTTCAGTTTGCCGTTAGGAAGTCGGATGCCTCCAGCGCCGGACAGCGCTCTGCCGCCCGGGCCGCCGTGGGAGCCATTCACGTCCTCGCCCGCGGCGCCAAGCACGCGCAAGTCCTGGGCACACGCCTCCCCATTCATGTCACAGGCACGCCCACGCTCTTCATCACTCTGAGCCTCTACCTTCACATGACCGGCTGAAAGACACAACACAGGCACTGTCACCGCAGGCGGCAGCACAGCGGCAGCGGGGTCGGCGCCCCACGCGGGGTGGCGGGAACCACGGCCCTCCCGCCTGCCCCTCCACAGGTCCCCGTGGCCGTCCGCAGGGGAGAGATGACACCTTGAGGTTATTTTACTCAGTGAGGGCGGGCCCTCGCTCTAAGCCGGGCAGGGTCCCCGGGTCGCGGGAACAGCGTGGAGCCTCTGGGGGAGCCTGCGCCCTCTCCGCCGGGGCCCACCCAGAAGGTGGGGGTGACCGCTATCCAGCGTCAGGGCCGGGGCCGGGGCGTCGTGTGGCCAAGCCCCTCCTCACCGCCATCCCGCAACTCTCTGGAGAGAAGACTGACAGACAAGTAAGCGGATGGAACACGGACCCAGCTAACGGGTCACGTGGACTCGGAGACCCAGGAGTGAGGGTGGCTCCTCCCTTTAGGCCCCTGGGCAGGCGGCTGCTCTGAATGGCTTCTACACGATTCCAGAGCTCAGAAGGGCCTGCCCCCCCCCCCCCCCCCCCCCGGCCCAAGCAGCTGCCAGACGAGGGGCCGAGTCCCAGCAGCTCAGGGAGCAAGGACAGCAGACAGGCGGGGAGCCGTGTGCCCCCGGGGGCCCCAGTGGGTGCTGCTGCCTCGGCCGCCCGGCCTCCCTGGCCTCAGTGCTGCCGGCTACCTTTCCCGGTGGAAGGGAATCCATCTCCACGGCCCACGGTCCATGGCGCCTGCACCGAGAACAGGGCGTAAAGCTCAGGCCTCCGACCACCAACACCTGGGTGCCGCCTCATCACCACCTGGCGGGCTCTACCGCGAGGCCGGGGCTCGGAGCACAGGGGCGGCGGCGCGGCCAGTTCTACGTCCCAGGCGGCGTGGAGGCCGGGCGTGGGGGGGGCGGGGGCGGGGCGCAGGGCTCCTGGGGCTGGGAGGCCGGGAACCGGGCCTGGGGGGTGGGGGTGGTGGTCCCCTCCCTCGTTCCTCCACTTGGCTCTGTCTCTTGCTTTTACCAGGTAGAGGCCTCTCTTCAGAACTGATTTGCTTTCCCCAAAGGCCCCGCCAGCAGGTGGCGGGCAGCACCTGCCAGAAACGCCCGCTTGCTCTGGCCACTCAGACGGACAGGCATCGCTGCGGCCGTGGCCGCTCCTGGCTTGTGTCGTTGGGGACAGTGTGAGGGGCAGGGGCAGGCGGGCAGGGGGCAGGGGGCTCCAAGTTCCTTTTTATTTATTTTTTTAATTTTTTTGGTGATTGAGAGCACATTCATTACAGCTGCGAACCGTGAGACAAGGAAAGGCTAGGATAGCAGAGGCCACAGGCAGCGTAGGCAGGGCCCTGCTTTGGCCCCAGAAATGTTGCAGGAATAAGTGAGCCACGCTGGGCTGCGGGGACTCGCTGAGCAGTAAAATCACAGCCACAGAAGTGGCCCTGGGGGCTGCTGTGGCTCCCGGGAAAGCCTCTCGGCTGGAAGCAGCCGGAGAGAGACTCGGCGGGGCTTTGGCTCAGGAATGTTACTGCAAAGGAGCCGCGACAGGGCAGCTGGCCGTGCACTGAGAGGTCAGGGCAAAGGCGACCCTGGAAACAGGGTCAGAGGGGAGCCCAGGGCAAGTCGCTGCTCGCTGCTCCCCTGCTTGTAAGACTCCTGGGGGCCCAAAGAGAGGAAAGTGACGGTGTGGTGTCCCGTGGCCAAGCAGCGTCCAGGGCGGAGCCACGGGCCACCCGGCGTGGACCCTCAGATGACCTGGGCCCTGGTGCTGGGGCCGCGGAGCTGCCTCAGGGTCTGCCAGTGGCTGGCACGGGGGAGTCCCTCCATTTATTTTTATTTATTTATTTTTAAAATATATTTTTATTGCTTTCAGAGAGGAAGAGAGGAGAGATGGAAACATCAATGATGAGGAAGAATCATTGATCAGCTGCCTCCTGCACGGCCTCTATGGGGGATCAAACCCACAACTTGGGCCTGTGCCCGTGACCAGAATCGAACCCAGGACCCTTCCGTCCGCAGGCTGAAGCTCTATCCATTGAGCCACACCAGCCAGGGCGGGAGTCCCCCCATTTAGAAGAAATAAAAAAGAAGGTAAAGATGCTCTCCTGAGAGGGAAGACATGGTGCTGGCCGTGCCCCATTGAGAGCCGGCCCACACTCGCGTGTCTGGCCCCGGGGGCACACGCTCCGATGGGCGCGGAGCAGGGACCCTCAGGCGGGAGGGGCGAGGACAGCATGAGGGGAAGCCAGCACGACGTCACCCTCACCCCAGAGGTTCAAGCAGGAGACCAGTGGTTCACGAGGGAGGGACCTTCCCTTGACTACGCCCGGGGACACGTGGTCTGAGCTGTAACAGAACCAGACCAACAGCAGGCTTCACAGGAGCCCATCATCCACCAGCTGAGACCATGGGGGGTGGGGGAGGCTCCAGAGCCGAAGAGGCCCAGCCCCCGGAACGGGCCCAGGACCCCCCGTCTGGGCTCCTGGGAAACGCAGACAGAACCGGTTTCTGTGGCGAAGGAGAAGGAACCATGAATGTGGGAACAGGACGGAGGCTCCGCGTAAGCCAACGCCACACACGCTTCTGTCAGAAAGCGATTCTGAAGTCGGCCCCACGGGAGGCGTTCAGGCCCCGGGATTGCCACGCGCACTGTTTTCAATGAAAAACGAAGGAAGACAGAGCACTCCTGCCTCATGGCGGCTGGCCAGTAAAAATCTCGCGGAGGGAACACTGGGACGCAGCTGACAGGAGGGCAAGCAATGAAAGTGTGCGAGGAGGCGACAGGCAGGCGTGTGTGAGCGGTTGCAGAAATAGCGACACGTGCTGTGACAGAAAACTCTGATGCTAACGCAGGACCCCCCGGACCCTGCCGACGGGGGCACCCCTGTGCCGGAGGGTGATGAAAAGTGTTGAGCATTTTAAAGGTGAACAAAACCATTCATTACAATGTACACCATTTTAAGTGTAGGTTGTTTTCTTTCCATTGTACGGAAGAGTGATCAGGAATAGTTTAAGCCTTACTTCATGTTTCAGGCCTTTTAGTGGGATGAAGTTGGGGAGAGAGAAAAGAGGAAGTGTATGAAACACACTTCCTCTGGCAACGAGGAACGCACACTGGCGCTGAGCCGGTCCAGGGGCTTACACAGGTGATGTCTTTAATTTTTAAGAAGAAAAAGGGAAAAGAGGTACTGAGGTGTGAGGACCCTTCTCCACCATGACCACTAGGTGGCGGTGTTGGCCCAGAACAGTTTGGTTGCTGTTGGGTGGGGTGAAGTACAGCCAGGGGGCCAGGGGGCCAGGGGGCCAGGGGGCCAGTTACGGTTTGGGCACATGGGGGAGGGGGAGAAAGAGAGAGAAACACGAGGACCTGTGGGCCCATTTGTGTGAATACGTGGACAGGCAGCGCATCCACACACACACCACCTGTCGCCCTGAAGCTCCAGGGCTGACATGGAGACGTTTCTCACACGGATGTCTTCACCCAAGGACCTGCCTGGACGCTCCTCCTGCTCGAGCCTGCACGCCCCGAGTCAGCGACGTGCCGAGGTTGTGTTATCTCACCTGGAGGTGCCTGGACCTCCTAACATCGCAGGCGTGTGACCGTTCACCTCTACACTCACATGAGCTCCCTGTCCCCGCACTGACTGTCTCACACAGTCACAGAAGCACACATGCACAGGCACACACGTATGTAAACATCTTATACACATGTGTGTCCATCCCACAGAAGTAAACATCAGGCTGGCGTCTGAAAGCTGGGCCAAAGGAGCATTCGTAAGAGAAAGCCCTCTGGGCCCTTGTGAACTGGAAGGGCAGCCAGTCGGGGCTGTGAGGGAAGGTCCGATATGATCACCCTTTAGGAACCTAACGGTTTCTGACAACAGGATGCTGGGACCTTGCTGCCCCTGTTCCCGACACCAGCCACGTCAGAACCCTTCCCCCCGCCCCGCCTCCCCCCGCTCCCCCGCGCCGGGGCAGTCCTAGTGGGCGCCGTTTCCCAGTCGCAGCATCAGAGGACAGACTGTTCCAGGCTCTGACGTCGCCAGTCCGAAGGGGCCACCAGCTTGAATCGCTTTGAATATGCAGCTCCCCGTGCATCTGAAAAGCACGCTCCATCCCTTCCCACCCCCTCAGGACGCTGCGAAACATGGGTGTCATCTCTCATCCCTTGATGCCTAAAACCGAAAGATGGAAGGGCATCTGCCTGGGCTGACAGCTCAGATCAGGAGCGGCCGTGGCGCCAGTGCTGGTGCTGCTCCGCCCGCGGCCCGCGGCCCCGGCTCCTCTCGGTTCTGAAATGAACACTCTGAGCAACGGACGAACAGCCGTGCCTGCTCCCGTCCTGCAGGCGTGGACGGCTGCCCTCGACCGCAGGCCGGGCCGCTGGACGGTGACAGACAGCCCGGCCATTTCCTCATCTCCCCGGCAGAGAGGAGATGACCCACGTTAGCAACAGCGCTGCAAGTGGTGTGTGTGTGAGTGTGTGTGGGCGGGGGGGGGCGGGGGGCGGGCGGCGATTCCGTCCATGCCACTGTTCTGTGTTCCACTGCTCACACTCCATGTCGCTACACAGGGACGCTCCATGGCACCTTTCACATCTAAAACGTCATGTGTGGCCTGGCCGGTGTGGCTCAGTGGTTGAGCATCGACCTAGGAACCAGAAGGTCCCGGTTTGATTCCTGCTCAGGGCACAGGCCCGGGTTGTGGGCTCCATCCCCAGTGTGGGGCGTGCAGGAGGCAACCGACCCAGGATTCTCTCTCATCATGGATGTTTCTCTCTCTCTATCCCTCTCTCTTCCTCTCTGAAATCAGTAAAAATACATTTAAAAACAAGTGAACAACATGTCACGTGTGCTCTTTGCTGTGGAGGTGACGTTGTGGATGGGAGCTGTTTGCTGAACAGAACGGTCAACGCTGCATCGATCTCACATCGACAACATGCAAAAGGCGATGAGGAGCACATGCACAGGACCCACACGATGGGAACAGAGCGTGAAACGAACACACA